GCGGGGGGCCTGGGGCCCCCGCGGTCACTTCTTCTTCTTCTTGGCCGTCTTGAACTTCTCCTCGATCACGCGCTGGGACTGCTTCTTGATCTCGGCCCGCGAGGGCACGTAGCTGTGGTCCACGTCGGCGAAGTGGAAGGTTTCTGGGGGGAGAGGCGGGAGCCGGGTCAGCCCTGGGCTGGCCTCCGCCTTCATTCATCGCCGGGCGGGCGTGGACCGCACGACTCCGTCCCGGATGCTCTGGCCTTTGGGCCCTTACGGACCCGGGAGAGACCGCGCCCCAGGGCGCCCTGGGTGTGTCCTCCTGCACACCGACCATTGCACAGCCCTCCCTCCCCCGGTCGAAGTCTCACCCCAACATCCCCGGCACAGCTCAGCCCGGGGCCAGCGCCATGGCTCAGCCCCAGTCCCCTGCCCACCGGAGTCACTCAGAGGAGCTGACCTTCAGCTGCTGACCCCGCCTTTCCCTCAGAAACCCCGATAAGGGCTCTGCCCGGGGCTCCCCCTTGCTCCTTTCTGCCTGCTGATGGGCGTCAGGACATGGCTAGCCTCTCCACATCTCACCATTTCCCAGGCACACCCTCCATCCCTGTCCCTCCTGGGCAGATGGAGCGAGCAGCACACCCCACCTCTGCCCCTGCACAGCTCAGCCCAGCCCAGCCATCCTTCCCACATCCTGTCCCGGAGGAGCTGGGCAGCCTGGCCCCCCAGTCTCCCCAGGCCCACCCCAGCCCGTACCTATCATATCGTCCTCCAGCTCCTCAAAGGTGATCCTGGTGTTCTGCTTCTCCTTCAGAGTCGAGGATTCCAGGGCATTCCTCACCTTCGTGTTTTTCTGCAGGGCACGGGGGACGGTCAGCTCTGAGGGGACACGGTGTGCGGAGACTTCTCCGCCCCCGCCCCTGCGGTACCTCCTCAGTGGTGGGCAGGGCCTGCAGTTTGTCAACCAGGTACAGGAGCTTCTTCTCACAGTACGCCAGCTTGCTGTGCAAGTCCAGGCCGTCCAGGCTGTCGGGGGTGGCCACCTTCTGCAGACCACAAGAACGGGCTCAGACCCGCTCCGGTCTCCCCAAGCTCACTGTGCAGGCGGCCTCTCCCCACGCGGGCCGGTACCTGGGCCTCGGGCAGGGCGATGCTGACCAGCCGGAGGTACAGGTTGTCGATGCCCATCTGGAGGGTGAGCAGCAGCTTTTGGCTCTTGGTCATGTTCGTGTGGGCCAGCTGCAGCCTCTCTTGCTCCTCCTTCAGCAGGTCCTTCATTTTATGCTGGACGGACTCAAAGCTGTCGAGTACGATGGGGAGGAAGGTGGCACAGACCTGAGGGCGGAGTTGGGTGCTGTGCTAGATTCAGGGGTTCAAGAGCTGCGATGTGGGCGTGTGGGGTCCCCGGCTCAGCTGCAGAGCACGAACGAGCAGGCTGGCTGGCAGTGGACACCCTGGGCTCAGAGCCTGGCCCTGGCCCAGCCTGGGGGGCGGGCAGCCTGGACAGAGGGAGGGCAGGGCCCCCGGGTACCTGCCGGAGCTGGACGTCTGGTGGAACTTCAGCAGCGCCTCCTCCATCTCCAGCTTCCTCATCAAGGCCCCCAGCTGAGTCCGCCTCTTCTCACACTCCAGCATCTGCAGCTGCAGGTTGTCCTCCGTGTTCCTCTGAGCCAGGAACTGGCCTGTGATGTCCTGGCCGTGCCAGGAGGGAGAAGCAGGTGTGGGCCAGCCGGGCGGAGCCCACAGAACTGCCCCTCCCCGTGGTCAGGAATGATGTCCATGGCGGCCGGGCCCTGAGGGCTTGTGGGGGGCCATCTGTCCGCCGGGTGAAGTGCTTTGTGTCATTGCACGTCACCCTCACAACAAGCAGAGGACAGACCGGAGAACGCCACTGAGAGACTGCAAGGCCGCAGGGCGCTTGTGCAAGGGTGGACAAGCTTAGGTCAGGGCCGAGGACGGGAGCTCGAGGCTTACTAAGAATAAACCCAGATCGGATTAAAATAAGGGGGGACAGGTGGAGAGGCAGCCGCTCATTATAATGCCGTCAGCTTGGGAAGGGGATGGGGTTGGAGGTGGAGGCCACACCCTAGCCGAGGCCTTTGGGTCCTCAGATTCTGTGGTTCTCATCCCCTGGAACATGCTGGGATGGGCCAGCTGTGTCCCGGGAGGGGCCTCTCCTCTGAACTGTCGAGGCCACAGCATTGTGCATTCATTCATCCCAAAAGGTGCCCGCAGAGCCTGGCCCAGTCAGCGTGGAGCCCCCCCACCCCTTCCCTAACACCCCAGGAGTGCCAGGGAGCAGTACCCAGAGGTGGGAGCACCGCACAGCGGTCTTGATTTTCTCCACCAAAGCGGTCAGATTCGTCTGGTATTCGACCTCGGCCTGGGAGGCCTCTTTTTTCCTCACTGAGCAGAGAAGAGGGAAGGATGGCCAGCGTGCAGGGCTGGACTGGGAACAGAGGCCTGGGTCCCAAGACCTGGGTCCCTGTCATAGGTGCTTGCACCTTACCCTGCTTCCAGGCAAACTGGCCCTTCAGGGGCGCCCCTGGGCATTGCCTCCAGAGGGGGACCATGGAGCCTGGCTCGGGGGGGGGGGGCTTAGTGGGGCTCCTCAGAGGCAGCTCAGAGGACCCGAGCTGTCTCTTCTGAGGAGTTAGTGGGTGACCGGGCCCTGGGGTGCCTGTGGGGCTTGCAGCTAAGAAGCCAAAGGTTCAGTAATTGGCCATGAGCCCAAAGCAGGTGGCCTTGAAGCTGGTGGCCACAGGCGCCCAGCTCTGCAGGTATGACCAGGGGGAGGCGGGGCACGCCCCCTCCCTCCCTCGGGGCCTCACGGTGACCTGTCTGGGTGGCTCCAGCCAGTGCTGGCCTCTCAGGTCCTGGTTGGGGCAGGTGGGAGCAGGGCCCTCACCTTTCAGGCTCTCCGCACTCATCAGATTGGTGGGGAAGTCCAAGTCCCTCCGGCCCTGATGGACGGGGTGGGGGTGAGGTGAGCAGCACCCTCCACAGAGGAGCCCCCCCGCCCCCCGCCCAGGCTGCACCGGCCGTGGGCGCTCACCTGGCGGTACTTCTCGCTGGTCTCCTTGGTGTGGATCTTGTCGATCATCTTCTTCTGCTGGTTCAGCCTGTTCTCCCGGGCCCGGCGCTCCTCGATGAAGGTCGCCTCCTTCTGCCTCAAGTTCATCTAGGGACACAGGCAGGCGGTGGGAGTCCGTCCCAGTGAGGCCTCCCCCGTGCTAACTCCAGTGGTCACTTCCCCCGAGTTCCTAGATTTGAGAACGGCCATCGAGGCTGTGGGCCAGGCCTTCTTCCCGCAACACGGTGCCCAGCGCTTTTACCATTCTGCTTCCCTCCCTGCACTGCGCTCCTCCACCCCGAGTCCAGGAGTCAGCTGGCCACAGGCACGGCACTGGCCCTCCGCAGCCTGCCCTGCCCAGCCCCCCTCGGAACTCACTGAAGTGTCTAAAAACCAACTCTTCATCTTCCCCCAAACCCGGCCTCTTTCTGTCCTGCTCCCGTGGCTGTGCATTCTGGGGGCTGCTCCCTTCCACGTCTAACTCAGTGCCCCCTCCTCAGGTGACCTCTCAAAGGCTTCTCAGCCCTCTGGGCCCCCCCCCCCCCCCGCCATGTGTCTGACCCCAGTGACCAGCCTCTGGGCCCCTCTGGTCTTGCAGCCAGAACACACCCGTTTGGAAACACAAATGGGGTCCCGTCTGGCCTGTTTCCTCCCAGGGCTCTAGGTTAGGGGGATGGGCTCCAGGGTGGGGGGGGGGCCGACACCTGAGCCCCAGCCACCCACAGCTGCCACTGCTCTCCGCCCGCTCCTCTGCAGCTTCGCTCCAGCTCCTGGTGCGTCCTGCGGGCCCCCAGCAGCCCCCAGCACCCAGGTCTCTGCTGTGCTGACCAGAGCCTGCGTGACAGGGACGACTGCATGAGTGGCCACCTCCTCACGTGCCCCTTCCCGAGGACGGCTCTGAGGGGCCTTGGCACAGACTGGGCGGGTTGGTGGCCCTGCCCAGCCCAAGCCAGGTCTCTCTCTCCTCTGTCTACCCCACGGCTTCCTGAGGAGGGGGCTCCCTCTGTCCAGGGCCACAGGTGAGCCAAGTGGCTGGTGGGGGAGGTGGGCGGTCTGGACTTTGGCGGTCGCAGGTGGTGAGGCACGGAGGTGTCCTGAGGAGGCCTGGGCCAGACGGGTCGGCACAGAGCCCTGCAGGGCCCCAGCCAGGGGCCTGCGCTCACCTTGACCTCATCCGTAATCATCATGGCGTCTTGGGACATGACTGTCATGTCCGACAGCTCTGAGCAGTAGTCAGCCACCAGGTTCTGCAGCTTGTCCAGCTGCGTGGGGTATCCTGACAGCTCCTGAGGGCAGGGCAGGGCAGGGCAGGTGGGCACAGACAGATGGTCCAGGGGCTGCGGGCCCACTGCACGCTGCCCCTGTCCATGGCACCTCCCCTGGCCTCCCCGTGCTCTGTGGCCCCACAGGGTGGCCTGTGCCCGCCCCCCACACCTACACCGCAGACTGAGCGCCCCGAGGACTGGGCCAGAGGGGCTCGCTCAACATGGGTTCGGGGTACAGGCTGCCCTGCCCAGCTCCTCCGGTTCCGTCCCAACGGAGATCCCAGCCCTGCCGCCAGCGGGGCTCCCTGGGGCGGGGCTCACTTTCTTCAGGTAGTCCAGCAGGCCCAAGTACAGCAGGTGGATGTTCTGGCTCGTGGTGATCTTGATTGTTGTCTTTTCGATGTTGTTCTCCAACTGGCGGATGACCTGCGAGAGCCAGAGGCCAGCCCTGGGGGCGTGTCTCACTCATCTAG